ACCTGCGTGGCAGTGGATTATGGAAGAGGATATGTGTGTAATGCCTGTAAGCCGGGATATACAGGGCAGTATTGTGAAAGGTTGGTTCGCTTCAAAAAATGAGAAATTTTCTCTCAAAATAATTAATTATAGACTATTATAAATCTACCAAAGCAGTTCTATGATATAGGTTTCTTTCGTTAAAGTAGTCCCATTTCAGTTTTTAGCTTTGATTAAGGATAGAAGCTATGAAACAGTACAAAATTACTTTCCGCTGTCTAATCAACAAAAGAATATTAAGGGAAAAGCTCGTTTCAAGTTCAGGATGCTTTGATCCTACTAGGTAAGAATTCAGTAGGCGTAATTACCAAATGTCCTTTACGGGACCAGTTCTCAGATCAACAAAAAAATATCAAACAAGGGTTTTGAACTCGCTTCGAACTCAGAATGCTTAGGTTTTCCAATTTTATAAGAATTCAAAAGGTGTATCTCCAATAACCCTTGCGAGACCATTTTGCAATTTCTTTATGACCATGATATGCAAAATAAAAATGTTGATAAAGGAGCGATCCCAAAAATTAGGTTTGAAGACATTATAACATTATATTTAATATCTTAGCAACTTGGCTTCAATTCGTTTTTCTTGTATTTCCTAGGATGAGTAGCAACGGCAAAATACAATAAAACGTCTGAATTGCTTCTTATTTTTTGAGGCTCTGATTTCTTAACATTTGACATTTACAACACAAATGTTCTCCTTATTTTATTTTTCGTAATCTCTTTCCAGCTGCGTTGTGGGGTACTTTGGCCAACCATCTGTACCTGGTGGCTTTTGTCAATCCTGCGATTGCCATCCTGATGGATCCCTCCACGGTGCTTGCAATCCCATTAGTGGAGAGTGTGAGTGCCGCTCAGGAGTGACAGGACGAGACTGCAGTCGTTGCCAGCATCGTCATGCATTCATAGGAGGAGTGTGTACATGTAAGTCTGACGTAGCTGGATCTATGGACCCGTTTTTTAAATTTGGACTTTCAGCATGTGATCAAGGATGTTATCTGCCATTGATGACTATGGTGGACGAGTTGGAAGTCACACTGGCCAATCAAAATTTTACAAATCTTCGACCAATTCCTTGGAAGAGGTTATTTAGGATTGAGAACAACACAGAATGTGAGTAATTTTGTCAAGTCTAAAATCTGTGTTTCGAGCTACAAGAAAGTAAAGTGGCAAAACAGATTATGCATTACTTGAAATGTAAGTTGATAAAAAGGGCATAAGATGAATCTAGCTAAAGAC